GGATCAATAAGAGTTCGGTTGGCTCGTTACGAGAGCGATGTTCAGTGCGAAACAATGGTCCGTGCTTTCCGCGTTTTCCGTTCCGCGGTGTGAATTCGGCCAACGGCGCCCCGTTCCATGGATTTCGGCACGGGAAATCTGCGCGATTTTGGGATGTGTTATTCAAGCGATCGCAGGTGAAAAGAAGTTTTATGTGGGAAAGGCGTTCGGATTCGGGCCCTCGCTATATTCAACAGCTACGCTACTCAAGCCGTCGTGACGTGAAATAATTCCAGACGCGATACTTTTAATTTTATCATGGCAGTCATGGAAAAAATTCCGCGTGAGTGACTACTTTACTTTCCTTTTTTAACTGAATTAAAATTTTAAATACAGTTTTTATTATTATTTTTATATTTCATTAGCTTTTTTACAACTTTTCTGCGTAATCTCGTGATGCTCAGCATTATGTTATTTCCACGATATTCCGGTAAAAAAACAGAATTAAAATTTTAATTCTTTTAAATGGCATATCTCACAGTTATGCTAAAGTAAGCTGTACACAGATTATACCGGGCTTTCAGAGCACAAGTTTGGAAAATGATCACGCTGCAATTTTTTAGTGCAACTCTTAAATCTTTTAGAAATCAATATAACTACGAAAAAAAGAAACTGTGAACTGTGAAATTCGCTTGAATTTAAGCGCGTAACAAGTTGCATGCTCAGTTTGCAAAGCTTGAGCTACGATATGTTGTGCCAACAGGTATTGATTAACTAAACTATCATTGAGATTAAGATCGGCAGAAACCCTATGGAATATTCCTATATGTAGGCCAGCTAAATAACTCACTACACGACAGTCTGTATAGACTCCCGGGGCGATATTCTATATACGCGAATTGGAAAAGCTTTTTCGCGTCGTCGCAATCTGCAACCAATTGCAAGTTTACATTTCTTCGAATTCAAGTACCTACTATTTGAATTGACTGGAAACTTCTACGAGATCTGGAGCCAAGTGTAATTCGTTCAGCCTTTCGAGCTTGAGAAAAATAATTTGCATGAATGCGATCGCGTTGTATACATATATTTCTTTACATTATTCATTTCGATACACTTTTTCTGCATTATTGTCGCCATTACTCGCTGCAATAATTATTATTTCCGTTGTGTGATATGCCTATAAATTAAACACACAAACTGGGATAATTATTCCTCGCGGCGTTAAAGCATCGATTCTAAATCGGCTAGCTGGCTGCACTGTAATGCGCCAGCAGGAATCCGCCCGCAGTTCTCAATGCTTAACTTCAACTTGTCCCAAATCCAATAAGAAGAGGCCCGTCCGTCGTCAGACGAAATGAGGCGCTCCGACGAGGCGAACATCTCCCTCTTTCCCGCCGGCGAAATTAGCGTTTTCGAGTCGCTTGAATTATTCAACTGCGCCGCTACATAGCGCCGCCTTATCTTCCGGCTTTAATAATTTTCCCGGTCGTGCTGCAATTGCGGCACGCAAAAGTCTGCTCCATTTGCTACTGCATATCCGCCAGAGAAGAGTTCAGTTCCTCTTTTGAATTATGAATGCCGCGAGTGAGAGAACGCAGGGGACTGTGCGTCGAGTCTGCGGAGCCAAGAGGATAGAAAAGGAATTTAAAAAAAGGCTAAATTTTCTTTTTTTTTTTTTTTTCAAGAGAGCTTTCATAAGGATACTTATTGACACAAGTTTAATGTAATGTACACGCAATATAAAGTATATAGATATAAAGTATATACATACTAAATTGACGGTGATCCTTCCCAAAAAAATTCATGTGATAAAATGTCCTGTGCGCTTGTTGCCGGTCGTAGAATGATTTTGCATAAGCTTTTTCACCGCAGAAGTTAACGCTCCTGCAGTCGCGCGGACAATTTCTTGCAGCTTACAAGTGACGTAATGAGAGAGGAAGAGAGTGAGCGGGGGAGGGAGGGGGAAGGGGAGACGAAGTTACTTTCTACGTGGATTAATGCCGGGGCGGTTTACACCGAGGCGAAGTAAACGGCATTACCTCACCTCGGCGCAATAAAGAGGAACTAATTTCGCTCTTCCGGGCGCGGTAGGATGCAGGTCAGACTTCTGCATCGCATGCACACAGGGGAAAATGATTAAGCCCGAAATATAGGGGTAGTAGCAGCTACATCAGGGTTGTATCCTGTTGAATAATTCTCACGGCGACTTCAAAGCGACTTCAACACCGTAGGTTAGCAATCTAAGCTTTTGAAAATTTCAACGTGGCATGAAGAGGGGCTTTGAGAATCACTTCGCACACGCGAACCTTCGAATGTCATCGTACGTACAAATCAGTTTCTTCCTCGATTTTAACGGTGTGTCCTGCCCCCCTTCCTGCCTCGCCGGAAGAATTCGCAGTTACAGTATTAACGATGCGACAATAGCGACACGTGCAATTATATGAAAAATCACTGGTTTTCCAGAAAGAAGCTTGTCGCGTATTCTATATATATATGTATAATTACCGTTTTCTCTGACAACGAGTGGAGCGCACGTGTAACTGTAATTCCCTGTAAATTGCCCCAAGATTGCCCAGAAATTGCACGTGCAATGAGTACGATCGATTGTACAGAAATAGAACTTTCTATAATATGAGAAACAAGAATATTATCTACAGCATACAATAAGATTATTCAAAGTAATCCTTCTCTAGAGAGAGAAACGTTTTAAGAAATAATATCTAAAGATAAGAGAGAGGAGGGGAAAGATAACGTAACTTTTTGCATAAATGAAATTTTATGTATAATATATGTATTTAGCCGTAATTGTAAAAAATGTTGATAAATGATATATGATGAATTTTAACAAAAAGAATTGAAATAATACAGTTTTTTTAGGTCATACATAAATTATTGTTTTAAACACGTAAAAATATGCGCATCCAGAATTGTTTTAAATTACGAAGAAAGAAATCAATAGAGCGGTGAAAGGGCATCGAACTGAAAATTTACTAAAAAAAAATATTTCGCAAAATTCAAACATATTCGCGTAATTTCGTTGGTGACGTTAGAAAAGAGCGATTTTTATCCGAGGTCTTGCCCCCCGCAGTTTCCATCTCTCTTAATAAAAACGAGCCATGACAAAAATGAAGTAGTTACTTAACATCTCTCGGACAACGGGCCTGGCTATTGTTGGCGCGCATTCCGCGCGACGAACGTGTTCGCACATTTAGCTCTCTTAAATGTGATTAACTTGAACAGAATCGCGCATCGCTGTCGCTTCGCGACCCAATGCAATTGCACGAGGACGACGTCTGGTTTCCTCTCCTTGGCTTCCTCTCCTTGATTTTTCATGGTGAATCCCTGTAATAGGGCTCCAGTTTCTTGGCCATCGCAAACGAGCAAACTTTCGACCACGTTCGACAATCTCTTCTGTTCTCTCGGTTTTTCCCTGTATCTTGGCACGGACTCCTCCAAACTGTTCCAAATTTTAAAAAGAACAAAAGGACAGAGAAAGTCGTTTTTACGAATATTGAAATAAAGCAAGACGCAATTAAATTAACATCTAGCATTTCTGCAAAGAAAAGACGATACTCAAATAAAATCTAGATTTTCGTCACTTGAGAAGTGACATGTTCTAAATTATTTTTTAAGTATTTATCAGAACAAATATTTCTATCATAATTAATCTCGTTATATTTTCTTCGATCTTTGTTGCGTCAAGTTAAGTGCGTCTTCTAGAAATTATTTTTCATTTCATTCATTCTACGCATTTACCTAAAATTCGGGACATCCGCGGGAAAAATTGATGCGAACCGCAGATGCGGTTGGAAAGAAGAAAACAAATTTGCTCAGCGAGCGTGGAGGGACAAAGACATATTTCCTCGACGTGACCTATAAAGCCGTTCCACGAGCTCTAACGCTCCAAAGTTATCATTCGGAGTCACCGTATAACTTTATATGGTGTTTATAATGGCAAGAAGTGTAATTGTAAAGCCTATCCCAAGTGCGCCGCGCGGAGCCGCGCCTGCCTGGAAACGAGATGGAATGCGACGACTTATTGCAGGCGGGCGTTAACTTTTTCCGCTCAGCGCGGTTGGTAAACGCGGCTAAGCTGGGTTCGCTGTATCTCTCCTGTCTGCGCCGCTTTACTTTCCCTGCCGGGCTTTACTCGCGGAATTATTATCACGGTAGACGACGGCGAGATATACCGGAGCGGTTATTCAGCCTGAAGCGTGACGTTTTTACGGCCGTGGAAAGCGCCCCGGAGAAGCGCTCTCGTAGTCGCTCGCGTATGCATATATCGGTACTACGATATACACTCTCGAACGTATCGCGAATTTTTCCGACGACAGGAGAGCGAAACGATCCCGACAAAATGATCGATCATTTACGCTTGCTAGTTTTGGGGAGCTGCGAATTTCACGGCGAATCACTGGAGGTTTAGCGAAGAGAAAGAGAGAGAGAGAGAGTGAGTGAGTGAGAGAGCTGCTCTATTTAACACCTGGGGATTCGCGTCGCTTAAGCTAATCGAATTAGTCTTGCATGCCCGAGAGATTTGCCGAAGTATTCATTAGGCGACTGAGAACAAGCGCGGATTATTCGTTGCTGTAATCGAAGAGGATGCGATACGCTACACGGTACCCTCGAAAATTGCGATATTGAGTTATGGATAACTTGCTGTTCACCTCATTCAGTGGAAACTCGATATGAAACTTTCAATAACAGCATTATAACGTCCACCTACATGTAGCTTTTTGCAACGAGACATTGTTTGCAAGTAAAACACTCGCGGACTAATTACTATGATTGAAACTTCCGAAAAGAAATACCAGCTCCCATGTACAATCCCCAGCACAATCGAGTTGATAACAGCGTGTAATTTGTTTTTTATCTGTACTTTTTTTTTGTACATTTGCAAGTTTCCAATCAAGGCACCGGTTCTCTCTGTGCGAGAAAAAAAAACAATTTACGCGTCGATTCTCTCTGTGATATTTGAAGCCGTATTTAATTATAATGTCGTTGTCTGTTATCTTTTTCAGCCGACAAAGCTCAATGTCTACAAGAACGATGCCGAGAGCTGGGACTACACAACGCCGACGCTGGGTAAGTCCAATTCTTCTCTCTTTCATCTCCCTCAGTTCTTTTTTTATTTCCTTCTATCGGTGTTATGTACGTGTAACTTCATAACATAGATACACCACTCCCCTCGCGTCCCTCGACATATGCGTTCCAGCAATCGACAGCATGAAAGTGCAGATTCGGGCAGGCCCGCTTTTTCGAACGTCACTAATTGTAGGATATTTTTTTCATTCAATACATATTTCTCCAAACTCTTAGTCATCGTATGATTTCAAATCTTAATTATATTGTTAACATATTCGAAATACGTTTCTGAAGAAAATTTAATTTTGCTGTGTTCACAACACAATTGTAAAAACAACATATATTTAGTGACTGATCGATTTTTGATAAAAATTTATGCAAATAAAATTTACTGAGAGATGATTTCTACAGCAAACGACAAACTGCGTTTGTTGGATATTAAACTTATTCGTCGAAGGAGATGGACTTGCCCGATTCTTGCACCCAAGTCGTCAATTGGATCGCATTCTACAGAGAGAAGCGGCATTCGACTGATTTCTTTCTGCAGAATCCGATTTAATCGACGTCCATTGCGTACGTGCGAAACGCACGGAGGATCGTTCCCGACGACGAACGTGTCGCGATTTCTCCCCTTTTTCAGTTCATCATTTGTGCCGCTTCTGTACCTCGTTGCACATAATGGGGAAAGCTTAATAGGATCAAACGGTATCCAAGAAGCAAAAAGGTTTCGCCGACACCCGGCCTTGGTCGCAAGCCTCGAAGAAAACATTTTTTTTCTTTCGAATATTTTATTTGCCTATATTTAAAGGGAATATTAAGTGAAATAGTCTGCATTTCTGCCATTTATTAAACAAAAATAAAAATCTCGTAGACGACGCTTCTTTTTTTCGCAAATTTTCAATTTGTTGTAAATATTAATTGTTAAACAGCTCTCGGTATATCGAGCTTTTACGTGAAAAAGCGATGGCTAAAAAAAAAAAGCTTGCAAAGTACGATCGGAAAATCCATTGAAATCCGACGGTTTTCGAAATGAGAGGCCGATCCTGAAACCGCGACAATGCGACGTGGAACGATCCTCGAGCTTGAAAATCGCTCGACCGTCATACGCATGAATTCGCCGCGGACAATTCACATACCACAGAATCCGAATAGATCTATTCACTCTGGAATACGAGACGACGAGAGAGCGTAGGAAAACGTACCTACGTATGAAAGTGCATGATAATTTGGACCACCCGACGAAACGTATAAATATCCCGAAGCGGTAAATTATGTGTGCAAATGCAATCGTAATAAACCCATACATCTCGTTACAAGGGTATTAAATGAATTTTACGCGGCAAAGCGGCGTCGCGAATATCTACCTCCTGGCTGGCAACACATTCCTCGAATTGCGACTCCTTCGTATGCGGGGCCCCCGTCATACCTTATGCTGAATGAAATGCGAAATGCATTTGTAGCGAAGTAATTGTATATCTTACTTTGATACCTGGCGCCTTTCGCGAGCAACGTGATGTATTTCAGCTCGTTTCGTTGCCTGTACATATTTCGTTACCTTATTATTACGTAAAACTATTCCTATCCCCCTCCCCCCCTCCTCCCGCTTCTGTCCCGATGACACACGACCTTGTGAAAGAGTATGCGGAACAAAAAGCGAAACGGAGTTGGGAAACCCACGCGTTTACGAATTATTCTTGCGAATCACGGTTCACTGACCAACGATTAAATCGCTCGCCCGAGGGCGCGAATGCGCGAGAGCGGAGAGCTGCGGCGGCAGTGCCTTCGCGTTTGCATAGGAGTGGCTGTTTAGCGGCTCAACGCCGCGCTTGGTCGTGACGCGTAAATTATTTCGAGTTATCTTGCGACATTAATTACCGCGTTTCTTTCTACCGCGGCTAATGAAGATTACCGACGCCACGTGCGGCGCCCGGCGCGCTCTCCTCATCGCCTCGGAGCATTAACGCCGTTTTCGAGATAATCGCCCGCGGCGTCGAGGTGCTGCGGTTTCGTCGCGCGAATTGGAGCGTCAAATAGCAATTACGCGAAGACAATCTAGCGACGCGAGTTTATTTCCGCGAGTAGACGCCGGAGAAAATGAAAAACTCGCCGCTAAAATTGACCCGTTGGTAGCTGCAGGTAACGGAGAATTAACAGAGGAGCCTTATTAATTTCCGATATTATAATATATACTAATCCTTGCTTATAAACAAAGATTTGAGTCTTACCGTTGTCGATTAATAGATTATCGAGACAGCAGATAATCATTAATTTTATTTATTCTTAGTAAATATAAAAATACAATTTTTTATTTATTTTTATTTATTAATCTTTCTAACGAAATTAAGATTTGTAATGAAAGAGATTAAGCTACTTGTCATTTAAGCCCGTTCTACAATTGCGTAAGCGTAGTTGTAAGTGATTGCAGCTGTAAGAACTGATCAATTACAGTCGAATATTCTTCTTATATTCGATTGTGACTGGTAAATTCTTACAAAACTGCAACTACTTGCAGTTATGCTTACGCAATTGTAGACCGGGCTTTATAGTTTAAATATACTTTCTGTTTTAGCTAATAAAAATTTTCTTTATTTCTTTTTTTTTAATCGTAAGAAACAAGAACGTTTAAGTCATGCTGGTTTCTATTATTATTTATTGTATCGCAACTCGCGCATTTTATGGGTTCAGTGCTATGATCACGAGATAACGTAATTATAACTTATAGTAGTGCAATAACAACGTTCTGAATCACGAAGAGAATTACTCGCGCGAGTTCAATAGCTAGCTAACGCGTGAACGCGCGTAAGACTTCCCATAGTGCTGCGAACGGCAATTAGCGGAAAGCAATTGCTGGAATATCGCGTGCCAGGTACAAACCTTACAAACAGGATTTCAGTCGAAACGACGAGCGAGCAGGGCACTCGAGGAATTCGCCCCAATTACGACACACGGGCTGACGTTCCGTCACCAGCAGACGCCATCGATGGCGTAGCCTTTCGACTGCACGAAATCTCTTGAGTCCTTAGAGATAGATTTCCGCGCTAATTGGCGCCATTTTCGGACACAAGACGGAATTCGCTCGCTAGGAGTTCGTCCTACAAGTATCTTCATTATATTGGCCACACCCATTGCGGTCGTTCTGTCTCATAGGATTAATCTTCCGGGTGGTCATTTCCATTTAACACTGAATTAGAAATAAATCGCGAGTATATCTGAAAATATTTAAAAGATCGTATATTTGAGGAGTTATATAATGATACTGAAATAGCATTAACTTACATATCTTTCCAAGTAATTTTTTAATTTAATAGATCAAAATTTACTTTTAAATTTAATAATTCAAACTCCCAGTTTGAACTGTCTTTGCATATTTAACGTTCGGTAAAATTGTTTTTGCAGAATATATTATATATATTCCTTTTAATTCGCTGATGTAAAATTAATTAAATTGTTATTCTACTTTCGTTAAATATCTTTTGTATAAAGATTATAAATTTTCTTATGTAGCATTATCCATCCGTATTATCATATCCGATCATTTTCGCAGTTAAGTTGTAGAAATTTATAAAATTCAGATCGTAAAACGCACTGAAACTCAATCAAATGCATTTCCATCAATATGTCTATCCGCACGACTAGATAAAACAATATCGAAACTATTGATAGATCGTATCAATTCCTGGATGGAGGACTGTCTTGTTATCACTGGTAGGAACTCGATTACGAAATCCCCTCCGGGATCCGCGACGACAAACCCGTCTGCCGAACTAATTGCATCGGAGACGGAGATAGGTCAGGTCGATTGCTGTACTTCTAACCTTTCCAGCCTCGCATCCGCATCTCGCGGATGAAAGTTTCATTAGGTCTAGAGGCGATATCGCGCGGTTACAACCGCAGCCTGCATTTCCGCGAAGGAGAAACGGCTGGCGCCGTTTTTGCACATTCAAGAGATGGTGGGCATCGCGTATTGATCCAAACGCTCGGCCGCCAGTCGAGCCGTTTCACCGTGAAAGTGGCGTAAATCAAATTGTGAAGGGTAATCAGTTCGGACCGGATATCAATAAGAACATGAGCCGTCTACGTATTTTAAAATAGGCGATAAATGGCCTAGGAGGTATTCAGAACTTGAACTTTAGCTTCTAGATGAAGCATCTAAAGTGGATGAAAGAATAATGTCATATTTTTGCCGACACGGTACAGTTGCTGCTGATTAAATCGCTTAGCTCCTGTTGAAACGAAACAGAGCAACGGGCGCGATCGCGTTACCATAAACGTCGACCGAAAACCCGAAATAAACCCCCCCCCCCCGATTTGCCTCATCTTTGTATTTTAATCAACCATACGTGAGAGCGGCATTGTGCAACAGCGGCTCGCCTCCATCCTTCTCCGGGCGATTAAGATCCGCGATTAATCTGCTGCCTCTGTCGTCCGTTCAATTATACTCCGCAGAAATAGTGTTCGGCCGGACGCGATTAATCCATCCTCCCACCCCCGATCGCGATACTCCCCAATTTTCTGTCATCGTCGATCCGGTACTCCGATTTGGCAAGAGTGACGACGACGGCGACCGTCATTGGCTCCGCCGTGCGTTTCTCCGTTCTCCCGTATGTATATAAATGTCGCGCACACAAAGGACGTCGTCGACGCCGACGACGACGGGCGAACAAAGCCAAGTTTGTTTCGAGAAAGTGCGCAGGCCGATGCGATTTTATTACACCGCGTGCGCGCGCGAGGGCATCCTATCCGAGACAGCAGCGCGACTAAATAAACGAGTAACACGTTGTCACGAGCAACGGGTAAGACTCCATTCGCGCCTTTGTCACTGGAGGACTGAAACTTTAACGTTTACCAGTGAAAATGGGAGCGAGACAAAAGCGGGAATCCTGAGCAAGCGGGTCTAATAGATTTATTTTAACGCGGACACGCGTGTACTTGCGTATTTTTTTTTTCGAAAGCCTCGCCTCGTTGAATAAACCGTACCTTTTTTAAACTTGAAACTCTGC